AACTAAGAGTTGAGTGTGGTCTCTGATACATAAATACTAATCCAAGGGAAATGAAGGGAATAGAGGTGGTGATAGGAATAAGAAATACAGTGGAGTGAATCTAACATAACTTTCCTACTTACGTCTATGAATACACAACAGTGAATCTCAACATTATGTACATCCATAAGACTGGGATCTTAATTAGAATAAGATATATTCCATGTTTTTATATAAATAAATCAAAATAGACTCTATAACTAAAAAGAACACATAAAAATAGAGAAAAATAAATTATAAGTAATTTCATCATATAACAAACATTTGTGTTTTTAATCATTTTATGGTTCTCAGCTATGGAAAATTCATAAGTAGAAGCTAGAATGGAAAGAGCAGATCCATATCAGGACTCTACTGACTTATTGAAAGAAGTAACTTGAATCCAATAAAGGAAAAATAATGTAATGATAAGCTATTATAGCATATTACTGATTTGGCCTCTTGTCTTAACACAGTTTCTTTTTTACTTGTAATTTTTTTAGTAAAAAATTTCAGGTATATGATATGGGTTTTATTTTTAATGTTAGAATATGAAAATGGAAAGCAAACAAAAAATGGAATATAGAGATTGGTTACAGGTTCCGTTCTCTTTGCTTTATTTCACTTGTTATTTGACACCCAATGGTTGGATCATCTTTCTAGAACAGGCATTCATACACCAAAAAAAATTATGCTGGTGTTCTTTTGTAACTTACCGTTCAACATTCAGTGTAGGGAAATCAATAATGTATTACTGCTATTATAGGCCATCTGCTGGGACAGAGAGAGAGGTTTTCTTCTGTGTTAAGTGTTTATCAAGCCCTTTCTGCTAGTCTGTTGTAATCCAATGTATTTATTATTAATAGGTAAACCAGAATGTTCCTATTCTGTGTTGAAAATAGAACTTGGCTGTTAAATAAAAGAAAATTACTTTGGGCTTTTGACAAATAGTGAGGCATCATTTGCACTGACGAAATTTGCTAAATATAGACCTGTATCATTAACAAAGTAAGCTATTTCTAAATTGTTAAAGTGATTTTCCTTTATGAATTCTTAACTTAAAAAGCAATGTCTTTCAAGGTTTAACCTTGGAGTAAGGGCAGACAGAAACACATCCATTTTGATCCTACTAAGCTACAAGAGGGTCAAACCTTGACTTTCATACTGTTAGAATTGTTGTTTATTCCTTCCTCACAGACTGCACATGATAATCTCTAGGGAAAGTAACCATGGGGACAAAAGAAAATTTTATTTTCCTTTTTGATCTTAATGGAAACAGTAGAAAAAAATTCAAGATCTATTCAGACAGAAATAGATAATAGCTGACTGTTGACCTTTCCAACAATGAAGAAACACACCTACAGAGGATACTGTAACTGCTTCATTCCACACAAGATGTGGTCATGTTTTTTKCTTTCCTTGTGTGCATTTCATGTTTGCTTTTACTCATAAATAGAATTTGGTGTATATAAGGAAAATAAAGCATTTTTTTAATATTGCAGTAACTCTCTTTGTATTTCTCCTAAATACCTTATAATAGAGATGTGATCCCAAAGGTAAAGACAGCCCACATTGGGAACTAAATTTTAGAAATGCTGAAAGCTATGGATTTAAAAAAAACCCAAAATTTTGTTAGCACAATTAATCAATGAAGTTTAAAAAGACACAATTCGAAATACATGCCATATTCAACTTAGGTGTATTGGTAATTATTTTAAAAATCAGATCTACTGCAGATAAGTATGTAACAGAGAACTATTTTTAGAAATCTGCTGTAGTTTTGTTTCCTTTATTTTCTTTTATATGTTCATTGCTATATATAGATTTCTAATTGTCCTATGTCTCCTTAGTGTTTCCCACTCTAGAATTAAACTACTCCTGGTAAATGATCATGAATTAAATCAGTTTTGTTTTAATCTCCCAAATTCTTATGTAGGAAAATTTCAGTGATTATTGAAAAAATGAGGAGGTTTTTCCATTTCTGTCCAAGATAGGATTCACCTCAGTTTCCCCATTGCACAGTCCTTCCAAAGGACAAAGAAGTGACTAAACTGTTCCATGAGTTAGGAGTGAGGTGCACAAAGAAATCTGAGACCATAAACTTTTCCAAAATTCTACCTTTTAGATAAAACACAATGTATTTTTTTCAGTGACCCAAATACTGTCTTTGAAACAGTATTTCTGACTTTAAAACATTCATTTAACATAGTTTAAAATAAAATAGGAAAGAAAGAAACTTTATGAACTACATTAAATTGTTGAAATTATTTTCAAGATCTAGATTTTCTTTTTGGATTTCTTAAGTTCAGCAGAACTTCTATAACAATAGATCAACTCGTGTAGCCTCTAAAACAACACCCCCCCCCAAAAAAAAGTAGAATTTAAATAAACATGTTTTTGTCCAACAATATTGAAATTGCCAACTTTTCATGATGTTTAGAATCTTAAAAAATGTATTATTAATATTTTTTTGGTTTTTGTGGGAAAGGGGTACCAAGCACTTTACTCAGGGGCACTCAACCACTGAGCCACATCCCCAGCCCTATATTATATTTTATTTAGAGACAGGATATCACTGAGTTGTTTAGTGCCTCATTTTTGCTGAGGCTGGCTTTGAACTTGTGATGTTCCTGCCTCATCCTCCTGAGTACTGGAATTATAGGCATGCACCACCATGCCTGCATAATGTTTTTCAAAGTTAGTACCAGAATGACTCATACAGAATTATAATTGGGTAGTTAAGTTTTCTAATATATTATAATCAAAGGGAATTCCTTTGTTAAATATCTTTAATGAGACACATATAAAAATGAGAATTGAACCAGATGCTGATTTTTATGTTTTCTGTCTTTCATGGTTGTTCTTCTGTATTCATTCTGAGAACTTTATCCAATAGGCTGTATTTGAATGTAGGCTTTGCCCAAGATAGGATTCACCTCAGTTTGTCAAAAATGCAGAATCCCAGCTCCCATAATAGACCTACTATTGCAAATTCTAGGGTTTACTTTTGTTGCAATCTGCAGATCAAACCCAGGGCCTCATGCATACTAAGAAATTACTTTACCAATGAGCTATACCACCAACTCATCAAATCCTGTTTTATTAAGAACTACCCATGATTCATGTGAATGATAGTGTTTGAGAAACATTCCCTTTTCTATATGGCTCCTGAAAAACTCAAAAACAGAAATCTCAAATTTTAGCTAGTCATGCATAGCAAGATTGGATCTATCTACCATCTTGAATTTAAGACAGCTCTTTAAAAAAAAATCTTTAGAGAGTGTATTAGTTTTCTGTTGCTGCAATAAGAACATATCACAACGCTAACAACTTAAATAAACAAACACAAGTTTGTTTTCTTGTAGTTCTGTGGGTCAAAATTATGGTGTGCACCTCACCAGACCATGAGTAAAGGTGTAATTGTAGACAGGACCATGTTTCTTTCCACAGACTCTAGGAGAAAATTGTTTTCTTGCCCATTCTGGTGGCTAGCAGACTTCAAATCCTTGCAGTTGTGGAGCAAGTTTGCTGTTTCATCATTCACCATCAGTTTAAAGACTGTTCCCAGATTCTACAGGTTGCCTTCATTCCATTCCTTGTTCCTCCATCTTTGAAGCCATCCACAATAAATCTTTCCTTATCACCCCTTAAATCTCTCCTCTTTGCTTGTCTCCTTTTCCTAGACCACTTTTTTATATTCCCTCCCGTTTCACTTTTAATAACTCTTACGATTAGTTTTTACTCATCAGCAAACATGAGAAAAATCTTCTGTATCAATGTTTTCAGCCTTTTCACACTTTCAAAGTTATTTTTGGCATGTAAAGTAACATATTCATGGGGATTAGGGTATGAAACTCTTTGAGAAAGGAGACATTATTTTGGCAACCATAAAATAAAGCTTGGGATAACATGTGCCATATCTATCCTTAATGGGAAAATCACAGAACTCTGTGGTATTTGAGATTAGATTTTTATGTGTAATAAGTTGAGGTATAGATTAGAGGAAGACCTTTTATTCAGCTGAGATGTCACTTGAATAGAAAACCATTCAAGAACAATGCATTTATGATAGCCTTCTCTATGTTAATACATAGTCTTTGAATACATCTTCATATTTTTAAAATTTTAGAGTATATTTCATTTACTCAATGATATCGACTCTATCTGATTCAACATGACTATTATGTTTATATTAAATACTAAGATAAAATAAATGATTCAAATGACAATAACTCACTTAACAGCTGCACAAAAATTCATAACCATAAATAATGCCTTTAGTGTGCATACTAATACAGTAGTAATATTGGAAAAAATTATATAAAATTGTTTATGAGATAAAGATTCCAAGCCACATCAATGTTTATACTAGCACAAGTCACAATGGCTAAACTAGGTGCCCATCAGTTGATGAATGATAAAGAAAATGTAGTATATATACATAGTGGAATACTATTCAGCATTAAAAGAGAATAAAATCATGACATTTGCAGGTAAATGGAGTTGGAGAATATAATGCTAAGTGAAGTTAGCCAATCTCAAAAATCCAAATGCCAAATGTTTTCTCTGATATAAGGATGTTGATTCATAGTGAGGTTGGTGGGGCATGGGAGTATTAGATGAACTCAAGAATAAAGAGGAGAAAGGGGAAGGGAGGAGGCATGGGGACAGGAAAGACGGTGGAACAAGATGGAGATCATTACCCTAGGTACATATATGAAGACACAAGACACGAATGGTGTGACTACTTTGTATACAACCGGAGATATGAAAAATTATGCTCTAAATGTGTAATTTGAATTGCAGTGCATTCTGCTGTCATATATAACAAATTAGAATAAAAAGATTCCAGAATGTTATCAGCACTTTATATTTCATGCCTTTGTCAGATCATTGAGGAAAGTCCCTATTACTTTAAGAAATATTTGAAGAACTAATAATCTTAAAATAACACCAGAATTTATGAGTCTCCTTTCTGCCAGATACTCTGTTGATCGGAATACTGATATGGACCGAATTTTTAGTATCCACTCAGAAAATGGCTCTATTTTCACTCTGAAGCCTCTTGACCGGGAATCATCCCCTTGGCACAACATCACTATTACAGCCACAGAAATAAGTAAGTTGTCATCAACACATCTATCTGAATGCATTATCTTTTACCAAAGTGATCAGGTAATGGCTTAAGTTGACTCTTTCTCTCCTGTAGAATGGCTACATTGTGAGAAATAGTTTAGAGAAATTATTTCAAAAGTTTGGGGTTTAAGGATTATTGAATCACTCATTTATTTAAAATTTTGCTTTTTATAATTTAGAGTAGGATAGAAACATAATCTAATCTCATAAAAATTATTAACCAATCTATAAAAATAGAGTACTACATTCTTAATGATATTTTCATCTTATTATTGTGCTTTCCCTGTGGACCATGTTGATGTATTCATCAGCATCAGCTAAGAAAGTGAATACCCCAGAACTGATCTGTTGCTAAGCTACAAATGGACAAGTGGTTTTAGTTCTTCTCTGTAAATGAGCCTGAAATCTTACACATGTTCTTGTTGCAGATAATCCAAAACAAAGTAGCCATATTCCAGTCTTCATCAGAATTCTGGATATTAATGATCATGCTCCGGAATTTGCCATGTATTATGAAACATTTGTTTGTGAAAATGCAAAACCTGGGCAGGTAAATGAAATTATTACAAATTTAAAAATTTTTTTTTTCTTTATGAAGGCAGATGACACTAATTTATTTGTAAGATTTTTTTCATGCCACTCTATTCCTAGTTCCTTATTTACTTCTGTTTGATCTAACCAAAATTATTTTTAAACTCATTTTTATTGTCAATCTAATAGAATATAATAGTGAAAATTTATACACCAGGCATATAATAAATATCATATATATATATATATATATATATACATATATATATACACAAAGTTCATATTTGGATTCATAATTAGGCTGAGTTATATACATCAAAGTATGGAGGTACATTATTAGATAAATGTGAAGTATAAAAATAAAAATTTTCTCTTAACTAGAATAATGATATTTATTTTTATTACATTTTTCTAATTTATTATTTTTTTTAAAGAGAGAGGTAAGAGAGACAGAATTTTTTTAATATTTATTTTTCAGTTTTTGGCGGACACAACATCTTTGTTTGTATATGGTGCTGAGGTTCGAACCCGGGCCGCACGCATGCCAGGCGAGCGCGCTACCACTTGAGCCACATTCCCAACCCCATTTTTTTTTCTAATTTAAGTAGCTCAATCAGGAGTTTTTGTTTTGATCTAAATGATATTTATGATTTATAATTTTCATATTTTTGAAATAAAAAATTGTTAATGACTTGTAAATTCCAATTACAAAGTAATGTTTCAAATATATCTAAAGTAATTTAAAGAAATGCACAATATGCCCAATTTTATTCAAATAGAATTTTTTAACAACACCAACTCTATATCTACCTATCTATCTACATGTATATTTAAAGAGTTATTCAATTACTTCTTTAAGGCAAAAATAGGTAGATGCTAAGAATCATCGACAATTTCACCATGTCCATTTAAGAAAATAAAATGGAAAACACTCATTCTTTTATTTCAATTGAGATTTTTAAATGTTTATGCCCCCCCCCATTCATTCACACGTTGAGGTTGTGAATTTGGARAGAGGGTCTCCAAGGTAATAATTAAGGTTAATTGGGGTCATGAGAAATGTTGATCTGATATAACAAGTGCTCTTATGAGGAGCCATACCAGGGATCTCATGTTTTCTCTTTCTCTCTGAGCTCACGAACCCAGGAAATGCCATGTGAATACTCAGAGAAAAGACAGCAAAACATAAGGCAGGAGGACAATTCTCACAAGAAGCCAACCATGTTGGCAAGCTGATCTCCAACTTCCAGCTTTAAGAACTGTGAGAAAACACATTTCTTTTGTATAAACCACAGTCTTTAGCATTTTGTTACAGCATCCTGGCTAGGATGAAAGTACTTTTCACCTTCCACATACACTCAAAAATTACAATGGAAGCCAGGCATGGTAGCCTCTCCTATAATCATAGCTAATCATAGCTATTATCCTAGCTAATCCTAGGATTCTGAATTTGAGGCTAGTCTTGGTAGCATAATAAGATGTCTCAAAAATAAATAAATAAGGTGAAGTGGTTATTTTTTTCTTTTTTGATTCACATAGATTTATTACATGCTTATTTCAGTTCAAAAACATTTTTCTTTTTCCACTTTGGTACATGATAATGGCCACGTTCTCAGTTCAGTAATAATTACTGTTATTTGGTGTTTATTTTTTTATACCATGGCCACACATTAATAAACTTACTAAACTACTTTTCTACAAATGGACATTTACTTAATCAATAAGATCTTATTCTTTCAGAGAGCATCATAATGAGTACTAGAGTACATTATGTATTTTTACTTACTGGTATAATTTTCCTTTGTTATAAGCTTTGAAGTATGAATGATTAATCTATAAATATTAATAGATGCTGCCAAATATTTTCAAATATTATTTAAGGGATTCTTCTGACAGTTATGATTGCCTATTTACTTGGATTACTCTAGATTTTAAATGTCTGTGAACTTCTAAATATCTCATGAGAGTTTAGTATAAATTTCTTCAAACTCATTTAAGCTGAATGTTTTCATAAATGTATGCTTTTTTAAAATCTTCACACTTGTATCAGGTTCCTGGAGTTGCCATGAAAAAATACCACATACTAGATGATTAGAAACCACAGAATAATTTTTCTCATAATTCTAGAGATTAAATGTCTAATATTGATCTGTCACCAGGCTATGCTCTCTCTGAAGGTTTTAGGTAGGATCCTTCCTTAACTTCCAAGCTTCTTGTGGTTGCCATGTTGTTGTGACATTCCTTGGAGTGTGGACTTCCAATCTCAACCTCTATCATTACATTGCATTCTTTAAAAAAATTTTTAATTGTAGTTCGACACAATATCTTTATTTATTTTTATGCGGTGCTGAGGATTGAACCCAATGCCTCACAGGGGCACGGTGAGCTCTCTACCAATGAGCTACAGCCCCAGCCCTACATTGCATTATTGATGTAAATCCTTCTGCATTCAAAATTGTCTGTTTTTATGAGGACTCCTGTCATTAAATTAGAGCTCTCACTCATCCAGTAAGATTTAATTTTTACTTGATAATATCTGCAAAAAAGTTTGTTCCAATTGTGTTCATATTTATAGGTAATATGATTTAGGACTGGAATTTATCTTTCGGGGGCCACAAATGAACCTACCTGAATCAGTAGGTGTTCTTTACTCATTTATGTATTAGTGTGCTATCTTTTATTGATGCATATGAGTTACTGATACAATGCATACTAAAATTAGATACAAAGTATGATTGATAATAATTATAATAATTTAATATATATTTTTACTGTTTTATTAAATCAACAAAGATAAAAATAAAACATAGTTCCTAAAACATAAAGCCCATCAAATCATTTGAAGAACATAAGTCATGCAATTAAAGGACCAAGATTTTTTAATGATTAAGAATAGTTCTACAGATAAGATTTATTATTATTATTCAGGATCAGGAGGTTGAGCAATAATACTAAATGTTTTGTGATTTTTTAAAATATTGTGCTTCAATTTTCTAAGGGAAAAAGATTATTAATTTTGTATTAACAATTGTGCATTTTCAGAAGCCTCATACAAAGAGACACAAGGTCACATGTTAATCTATCAATAAAATGAATGAACTCATATGTAATATGAAGTTAAAGTAGAAGAGTATTGGCTAGGAGTTGTAGATGGTATGGCTATAATAGGTACACAAAAACCAAAAATGTTTAAAATTATTGTGAAATTCAATAATTGTTCGCCACAGAATATTGGACTAGTACACCTGGAAATGGCACAACTGTTTATTTTTCTAGAAGAGAAAACTGAAAGTAAACATAATTACATGACTTTAATTTCATATCACACAGATGGCAGAACCAGAACAAGGAAAACAGAACATTGATATGTAGCTTGGTGCCTTTTGTGTTATGAAGTTCTCAATTGAATTTTTCCTCCCAAACTAGTGCTTGCTGCTCCATTTTCCTTTATGGCACACTTCAGAATTATTATGTGCTCAGCAAAGAGGGTCCTAATTTTGCAACTTCCACAATGATTTCACAATACTTGAGAAGCATTTCTTTTTATGTATTTATATTTGCAAACAACATTAAAAGAAAGGCAAGCAATCTGAATTAAATATGCAATATGTTGCAATAATGCACATAGCTGTAAAATCTTTTTCTTTATGATAGTATGCAATGAAGAGTTCACTTGTCTGGAAACATATTAATAGTAATCTTGATTTGAAATTGTGGTAAAAATTTATATTTTTAAAAGGAATCTTGTATGATTTCTTCCTTTGAGAAAACATTTTCTAGTAGACGAAAGGGGTTAGGAACCAAATACTAATAAAATAGGCTGGTGCTTTACAAGAGGACAAAAGAGGATACTTATTGAACTGATCACATGTTTGTTTGTTTGATTTTTTTTAAGTTCATTGTTTCAGTGGCAAGGAAACAGATGATGAAGCATTGAGAAGCACTGACAAGTAATAACGATAGACATTTTTATTTATTAATTAAATATTATCTTGGACAAAACCTTTACAAAACACCTCGGCACTGTTTACTAAAAAGGACTTTTTTTGTTTCTTAAGTTTAGTGACAAACTAAAAAATCAAAGCATGAACGCATGGATTTAAAATATTCCTTTAATTAAAAAAGATGGCTACTTTTAGTTTTGTTTTGTTAAATATATGCATTTGTTTTCCTTTCAGCTGATTCAGACTGTCAGTGTTATGGACAAAGATGACCCTCCTCGAGGCCACAAATTCTTCTTTGAGCCAGTACCAGAATTTCCTCTCAATCCAAACTTCACCATTGTAGACAATAAAGGTAATAGAAAAAATTTTAAAAACAAAAATTTTGAAACCTTAAGATGGAAAACTACAAAAGTGTGAAATATTTTCAATTTCTCCCCCAGATAATACAGCAGGAATTATGACTCGCAAAGATGGGTACAGCCGCAACAAAATGAGCACCTACCTCCTGCCAATTTTAATTTTTGACAATGATTATCCCATTCAAAGCAGCACTGGCACACTCACTATCCGGGTATGTGCCTGTGACAATCAAGGGAACATGCAATCCTGCAACGCAGAGGCCTTGGTCCTTTCAGCGGGCCTGAGCACAGGAGCTCTTATCGCCATCCTGCTGTGTGTCCTCATACTTCTCAGTAAGCTATGCCCCTCTCAATGCTCAGTGAACCCATAATTCTCTCCTTCATTGTCCAGGAATTGTGCACAAAGTAACACTCTCCTCCAGAGCTAATGGTGAAGCATCTTAACATTTATCAAAATTAGCTTTCCCATGAGAAAAAAAAAAGTAATTCTAGCTTTTATCTGTGTGGTTAGTTTAAGTTTTCTAGAGGTCAATAACAGAGAAAGTGCTTGGGAGGGAAATGGGATAAATTATGTTATTTGCAGGTATGTATGTTACAATGTACCCCACTATTATGTATAGTTACAATGTACTCATAAAAAAAACAGTAAAAAACACAAATATAAAACAAATGCTACATACATATTTTTACAACATTTTATGGCATTAACTGTTATTTCTCTGATTATGGTTACTTTGCAAAGGGCATTTGATTTAATAAGCTGATCTAATCGTTGTATCAACTTCATCAGGTAAAACGTTTATACTTCTACCGAATGGTTATGTAACATGCCAAAATCACTCTTCAGAGTGTTTTTATACTGGCATTAAAATAGTTGAGTCTATTTTAGAATACTCTTTTCTATTATTTTCAAAACTGAAGATTGTTTTATCTTTACAAATAATATTACTAACAAATATTTATACTTATATTTATATATGCCAACAAATACATACATATTATCTATATAGATATAGATATACATATACATACATACCCACACAATTGGCAAATTTATAAAAGTTGTCAAAATAGGACATTTATATTTAGATGCAATGCACCAAATTAAAAATTTAAATCTCAGTTTTTAAATATCACTGTGACCCTGTGGTATACTTACACTGTAATATTTTCTAAATAAATTTGTGCCTCCAGTAGCAAATGTTTTATTTGAGCATACACTAACAGTACAACAATTTAATTCAATTAAACAGTTGTTTCACTGCAAAACACTCCAAAAAATTATGTCCATCAAATATTCATCCAAAATTTTTATGCGTAGGGCAAGAGAGTAAGCCAAATTTATATTCTAATGCTCATATATGCTGGCTTCTTTTCATTGCAAATCCTTTCAAGCTATCTGGATGAAATCCCTTTGGCCAGATATCCTTGCAGGACTTCACTGGGGGATTGATGAAAGTGAGGAGAAAACATTTGTCTCAGTTAAGGTGATCCAACTATCTAGAAAAAAAAAAAATTCTCCGAGATGAGAACACAGGCACTACCACCATAACCATGAGCAGTTCCCATCCTCACCTGCTGCTAGAAAGTTCAGGTCCTCTATAAAATATTTTTGAAGCCCTGTGGAGATTTAAATTTGGTTTACCCTTTTAGCTCTTACTGATTTTATAGCTTAGACAGTTCTACTTTCCTAATTTAAAATAAGGTAAATGTATGTATATTGCAATTTATAAAATTTCTATATTAATGTAGTACACAAAGATATTTATGCACATATGATAGAACAAAACATCCACCAAATATTCTGATATTCAAATACAATCATTTAAAACATTTAAAAAAAATTTGCTATGCAGAAATCCTAGAAAGTTTTTATTATTATTCTGAAAAAAAAAAAAAAGAATCTGTCACCATTCTTCCTGGAGCAATATAGAAGACACATATTTATTTTTCACCTTCCCAATATATTACTTAAATATGGAATGATTTTGTATCATTTAGTTAAAATTGCTTGTAATGCAGGTTTCATTATCAAAATTACTAAAACATTCTTACTGTTATTTCAAGTCTTTATAATAATGGCCAGACATAGTTACTGCATTTCTATAGTTATAAGTTAGCACTTTGTAAGACAGAATGGGAAATATTTCACATCTGTGCTGATAATTTTGAAGAAATGCAGACCTTAGATTCTCTCTATGCTGGTGGGGGCATGATTAAAACTTTAGGGCAGAGCTTTATAAAAAGTTTTCATTCCCAGTACCACTTTGGCAGTCTGATGAATCTTTTTAATTTATTCAGAACAATTTAAATAGTTGAGACCTCTGGGATGTAGCTCAGTAGTAGAGTGCTTGCCTGGCATGCTTGAGGCCCTGGGTTTAATTCATAGTACTGCAAATAAGTGAATCTATAAATATATAACTTTATAAGAATGAATCAGAAGAAAATAAGATATCTAACTAAATTCAAGAAAAAAGCAAAAATCAGAATTTGTTTGCTTATTGAATGAGACCTTTGTAGAGAAAGTTTAAATATAGTTTGAGGATAGCTGTCATACTTGAAATGCAATATAAAGTATCTGTGATTTCTATTGGTTTAATAGTCACAAACGCTGCTACTATAATTATGAATATTATTTACTATGGTAAGAAAGGGAAAAAATGCTAAATTCCAGTTTCAGCTTACTAAAAGTGTTAAAACATTTTCACCATTCTTTATCCTAGCTTCTCTGAATTCCAATTCCATATCCTTAATTATTAACTTTAATATAGGAAATGAAGAAAATAATTTTTTTCCTGCTAAAGGAGAAAAAGTAAACTGTAAAATGTCTCTTCCATCTACTTACAAGTTTTAGTAAACATTTATAGGTAAAATTTAAGATAAATTTACTATATGCTTATTATGCTATTTACCAAAATTAAAGATATTTAAAATTATCCTTAAATATTAAAATTAGAAAGAACTGGTTTTTTTTCCTAGTTATGGCTCAATTTGATGGATGTTAGATCTATGTGGGACTCAATTAATCTTATGTTATCCTTTAATAGGAGCAAATACAGATATATCTCATTTTTACAAAATAATTATTTTTAAAAAATGTCTCCCAGATGATCCTAAACTCATCACCTGAAGATCTCTCTGATGAGGTTAACTTAAGATGCTTCTAATTATTTTTATAAAAGTCTTTCTATTAATTAGGAAGAGCAAAGGAAAGCATGCTGGACAAAATAAAAATGACACTGGACAGGCCTTTATATTAACAAAGAATGGTAATTTTTAAGAAAATTTTTTCTTATACAATGAAACAAATAATTTTTTCAATATATTTAACTGCTCTCAACTAAAGTAAGTGTAGCTATTATTTCTCTGAAGTAATTTAAATGTTTTGGAGAAGTTTTCTTTCATTAGTTATTGTGTATCTTATATGTAAAATTACAAAATTGGTCTCTTTACAATAGAAGATATATATTTTGGATATCACAAGGAGTTTTTTGTTTTCTTAAAATGAATTTTATTGACTACAGCATATATTTGTTGAGAAAGAGTCATTGTCAAACAAATAGATAACAATTTAAGTACAAGTTCTCTTACTAGAAATAATACAGTATACTATATGAGGAAGTCCACAGTTAACTTTAAAACAAAAGTATGTAAATAATAACAACATACAAGTAGAGAGAATACCATTAACAATTTAGTCTCAAAGTTTGAATGCAACTCTTTAAATCATGGAAGTCCTTGCTCAAGATAATATTTAAGCTGTCATGATAATATTTAAGATAGGTACAAGTTAAAGATATGCTTGAGCTTAACTATTGTAATGTAACAGTTGGAATTTATTTCAAATTTTGAGCAGACATTCAAAACCAGACCAATTAAAGATTTAGTAAAATGGCCCAATTTGGAATAGGATTAAATCAGTAGTTCATACATACTAATGTTCTTATGTGTGTTTATAAACACACACACATAATATAAGACTATAATGCAAATATGAGCATATATTCATCTATAGATGAGTAAATGATTTGTATATATTGCCTTGGGTCATTAAGAAAATATTCAATAGCTGCAAAAATTCTCTTGAGATAAAAACAACTGGTGCTTCAACATGTCTGTATTTGGAATCATATGTGCATTCTCAACGAGTGATGTGTCAGATTAAACAATATTTTTCAATATCAGAGGCCCAAAGACCTTAAAAATGAATTGACCTTGTATTATCTGCTTTTTATCAATGTACTGCATCCATTCATTGGCCCAAGGCACTCTGTGCTTGTACAGGATACTCCTCCTGCCAATCAGTCTCACAAACTTCCACACACTGAAGTATACATGCTGCTTTACCTCACATCATGAAACCTCACTATTTTCTCATGTTTTTTAAATAGTTTTAGTCGTGCTGTTTGCTGCATTGAAGAGACAAAGAAAAAAGGAACCTCTCATAATTTCAAAGGATGATGTCCGCGACAACATTGTGACGTACAATGACGAAGGCGGTGGGGAAGAAGATACACAGGCTTTTGACATTGGCACGTTAAGGAATCCAGAAGCAAGAGAAGACAGTAAACTTAGAAGAGATGTAATGCCTGAAACTATTTTTCAGATAAGGAGGACTGTACCCCTGTGGGAAAATATTGATGTACAAGATTTTATCCATCGAAGATTAAAAGAAAACGACTCAGACCCAAGTGCACCTCCTTATGATTCACTGGCCACGTATGCCTATGAAGGGAATGATTCCATAGCGGATTCCCTCAGCTCCTTAGAATCCCTCACAGCTGACTGTAACCAGGATTATGATTACCTCAGCGACTGGGGTCCTCGTTTTAAAAAACTGGCTGATATGTATGGGGGTGATGAAAGTGACCGAGACTAAGCATATTACTTAATATTAGTGGAACTGTCTTCGTTACTAGAATGAGTGGCCTGCATTCTCCTCCTTGGAGGAATTTTTTCAAAAAATTGAAATAACAAACAATACGTAGGTGTTGTCTTAGTAAGGGTTTGCTTAACCAGTAAGTTTCCGTGAATGAATACGAATGATATAGATTTTAAAACAGTAATAATAACCAGTTCACCCTCTTTGCCTAATAACCTTGGAAGGAAATTATATCACATTAATAATCAATAAAAATATTTAAAAGGCTTTTTGTGCCTTTTCTTAGGTATAAAAACTTTATAAATGCTTTCTTAACTGACTTTCAGTCACCTTTACTATTAAATTAAACATTGTGCAACTGCTTTGTAAAATAATATAGAAAATATATATATCGCTGATGAAATAGGAATGACTACTACTGCCATATTTATTTAGTTGAAGAATGTCTTTGTGTTAATTCATTCATATTTTTATAAATGTATATTTATATTTTTGTATTTTTGAAATAAACTAGTATTTATAAAAAATAAATTTCATTTTATTTAATCCATAGAGGTAGTTCTGATCTCACTTAAGACATGAATGCTTTACATCTTTAAGTGTAAAGTATGATTTACTCAGGGAAAAAGCAGTTAAGAAGTTACTGCTTGGAATTTGGTACTAAAGTGAGGTGAAATTATAAATGATCTTTGGTACGAATTGTTATTTGTTGTTTCAATTACTTAAATATTGACAAATGTTTATTGAACCACTGAAGTCTATGCATGGAAGAATATGAGATACTTTGGAAATATAAAGTATTATATATACACACACACACACACACATATATATATATATATATATATATATATATATACACAAAAAAATATATAGTTGTGGATAATAAATTTGTTTTTTTCAAGTCTTTATCAACTATTGGATTGTATTTATAGTAAATGAAATGTCAGTGATCTTATGTAGAAGAGAAAAACCTTAATCTCTCTTCTTTGTTTTTGTTGTTTTGGGTGTGGGGGGGCTCTGATTGAATAATTCATGAAATACTTGGTGAGTCTGGGGTAATAATTTAAAATGAATATTGGCAAACTATAGGGTGTTTAAAAATTAATTATTTTACTGTGGCTAAGAGTTATGTATTTGAAGGAATATTGAAAGAGCTAAGGACTTGTAGAAAAAAAATCTAAAAGGATCTTATGGTGCTTAATAAAAGTTAAGATTGTCTAAAGAACCAAATATAGGCACACTAAGACATAGGCAGGAAGAAGGAAAAGGTTCCTGTATGAAAATCATTTGCAAATCTTTGAAAGACTGCCATGCAGAAAACTTGACCTTGTATTATCTGCTTTTTATCAATGTACTGACTTCACCAGCATGTAAAACCTAAATCAAAATAGTCACAGGGAGACTACATGCTATCTATTTTCTCTGGCAAATATTATTTGTTTTCTTTAATTATTCATCTTTTAAGGAGCACATGCCCGACAATGGTAATTCACAGGTAGAATTACTAAGGGAGAAATTGACAATTGACTCTTCTGTTGTCAAGACTGAAAATAGTAAATATTTCACAAATTGCAAGCAGATAGGTATGTATTATTATGTTACTCTTTTGGAAAATTTCTGAAGACTAACTCAATAACTTCATTAGCAACAGCTACTACACACTAAACAGTCAACTTAATGTTTAAATTATTATGAGCAACACAATAAACCAGGGTACCTTCAAGTTGTAGACTTAAATTGCTATGAAAATAGTCACACTGATACCAGATAGAATAAGACAGAGCAAATTTTAAACTTGATAATTTAGCAATGTTAATTCAACTACCATTTTTTGTGTTAATTAACTTATGAGTTAGTATCAGAGTTTTCTCTTTTGTTGATTATGAAATTACCAATATACCATTCATAAAAAGAAAGTACTTAACAGATTTTATATTTAATATACTTAGTAGATGCTCTAATGAGAATCTGATTTAATTAAATAAATTACCAGATCTAACTCTAGCATTTCCTAGAATTTTTCAAAGATGTTCAAAATTTCTTTAGCAAGAAAGATGAATTTAAGAGCCAGAAGGACAAGGTTTTAGTATTTTCATGCTGATAAACTAAAGAGAAATTATTAAATTTCTCCAGAAAATACACATAATAAATTTCACTATGCTTGGTATAAATAATTTTATGTCACTAAATGCACGCAATATATCCAGTAATATGAGTTTTTTATCACTGGATTTCCATGGAGTGTGTATTTGTTAAATTGAAACATATTTATTCCTTATCTTTACTTACTTGTTAAATAAAACAATTAATTAGCTTTGAATATGTAAATGTAAGATAAATTTAAAATCATTTGAATACCAGATATAATTAAAACATTATTTCACTATTTTATTTAGAATGTTCAATAATTTTCAGAAAAAAAAATGTATTATATCTGGGTATGCTTCAGTGTGACTAAATTATCTACATTATTTGAACTTTTATATTCAGAGCAAACATTATTCGTTCATTGTTGCTCTCAGACATATAGACTAGATCCCAATAACTTAGACATCACCTTTATATAAGTAAATAAAATGGCATAACAATTAAAAAGCAAACAAATAAGAAAATAAAGAGTGACAGTGACTCCTAAGCACTAAGGTGGACGTTAACCACTCCTCCCTTGCTTTAAGTCAAACTGACTTTCAGGATCCTTTATTATTTTGATGATTCTTTTATTTTACTTGGTCTTCTTAGCTGGTTCCTTCTCTTTTTTTCAGTATCTTGAAGTGTTTCTGACCCTGGTCTTTTTCTTTGGTGTTTCAATTCTGGCCCTTAGTCATCAGATGCAGTCTCCCAGTTATCATTTACATCTATATGATTTACATCTATAGTTCAACTGAGATATACATCATTCAGGTTGGAGCTCTCAAATTTACACTTTCCTTCTTCACCTCCTTCTAGTAAAGCATATATCCAAAGAGCTATTCCACATTTCAAATAAACATTTCAAAATTAATGTGTCCAGATTTTAGCTTCTAATCATCACATCTATATTTTCTGTACCATCACCCTGACCCACAACAATTATACATGTCTAGTCGATGGCAGCTCACCTGATGAGAATTCTATAATTACCCAGAGCAAAGGAATTGGGTTATCTTTTTCTTGCATTCTGTTCTCACCCACAGTGACTTTTGATCACATCTGCTACCAGAAAGCTAATATTATTATCTAGCTTATTGCAATATTAAGAACTCATTCTTACCAGCTGTGCCCCTACCATCTATTTTACTTTACACATATGTACACATACATATATTTATTTATTTTTCTTTTTATTTAATTAGGAAAGTCCGAGCATCTCATTTCTCTATAAAAACGTGTAAGTTGTTCATTTGCAGTGTAAGTCTTCACAATAGTCTCTAAGGACCTATCAGATTAGGTTTGCATTACCTCTCTGATCTTACTTCTATTTCATTAACTCATTTCATCTCAGATATTCTGAGCTCCTCAAGAATGCCAAAGGACAAATGCTATTGCACAGTTTGATCATTCTCCTTGGAACAATCTTTCTGAAGCTATCTCTGAAATTAACTTTCTAGTTATTTTAAATTCATTTTCAAATTACAGGTTTATAACGAGGACTATGTGAGACAGTCTATTTAAAATTGCAAACTCATACCCCATTTCCCCTTTCTCATTTTTAAAAGTAAATATTATGCAAAGTACATATCATGATTTGACATAACATATGTTTTTCATTTAAATTTTTGGTTTGTCTATGTCTATCAGAAAACTTAGTCCTCTGGGGCAACAATTTCATAAAAATTATACATTAAAAACCTCAAAAATGTCTAAATTAGTGTCTCCTATCTTATTGAAATGCAGCAAATATTTGTAAAATGTTTAATACAAAACTCAAATTTTTTATTGGATAAGATACTGCAAATAGGAGACATAAAATAAAACAACTGAACAAGACAACACAATGTTCACAATAACCTAAATTGTTAAATCAGAAATGTATATTTTTTCAAAAACAGCTTCACTCATTTAATATTTCCTTCAATAGTTTTACCTTCTAAAATAATATAGTAATGGAATTTTACAGGGTTTCAGACAATTTATCCCAGTTGCTGAATCCAAACACCAGCCAATGCAAAGAAAGGATGAAATAGTCTTCTTTTCTTCTTTTCAGCAAATGTAATTACTGTTACAATGGGCTTGTCATTGGACTGTCCTGGCTATTGTCTTGTACATGGGTAAGAGAATATGGGTTCTGGAAAATGAACAAGTCCAAAGGAGAATACATATTTTATTTTTTAAAAAAACATTTGGGGGCAATCACTTATATGAAGTAGAAACATTAGCTGTTGAAATTTAAAATCTATGTGGACAAAATAGCACCTTGGAAATACTAGGCCTCATCTCATTTACAGTCTTTTTTTTAATAGAATTTTGTTAATGTAAACATGTTAAAAAGTATAAGTTACCATATGGTTTCTAGCACTAAAATTTAGGACACTTTATCTATAAATCATTTATATTTTCTTGAAGAATCTACTAATAAGGTTAAGCTTTTTTTTTTTTTTCTCTATGCATGTCCCACACAAGGAACTATAAATTTCTAGTTAATTTCTCTGACACTTTTCTTTAGATATGTTATTTTCTCATTATTTCTAACAAATTATTTTTCATAAATAAGAAACTTGTTTTTTCACGATAATAAATTTCAGTGAACTATAATTATCTATGCTAAAATTTATGGTTTCTCTGTTGTAGTTTGTTTTGTTTTTCTGTGTGTTCTTAGTACTAATTCCATACCAAATCCTATGTCATTTATTTTACCTCCTCTCTAGCATTTCAGGCACAAAGAAGTATACACATTCTTGAAGTATCTATCCTTAGTTGACCTACCTACTCCAATCTGAGCAGGACAGTGGTCTTTCATGCTGGTGCTGAGTTTTCATCCTGCTGTCAATTCCCACCATCAGCTTGGGGACCCCCATGATCTATATCTTCTTCAGGGCTGGAATCCTGAGCCCCAACTCCCATACCAGCAGTTCCTGTTTTCTTTCCTTGTTTCTCCTCTTGACTTAATATAGGTGGGGTATTCCTTAGAATAGTTGAAAATAGTTGAAGCAAAAAGTTTTTAAGATTTTGAAGTTTTTCCAATTTTGCAATATCTACATAAATTTTGCTGTTTAAGTGTCCCTAATCCAAAAATTTTAAATCCAAAATGCTATAAATATGAAATTTTCAACACTCAAAAACGTTGGAGATTTCAGATTTTCAACCTGAGTAATATAATTCACACTTCACATATTTAAGATGATGTTATTGCTTATTTTTCTGTAGAAATTCCATCACATTTTAACTGAATAATTCCTTGACAATTATTGGTTCTTTTTGCTCTGACTATATTGTTTCAATTGTAAAGAATATATTTTAATTCTTTGATGACTAGAAATTTCTTTGTAATTATTTACATGCACTATTTCATAATTTATGTTATTCGATAGCTCTTGGTAAGTATT